TAAAAAACTTAATTACTCAGCTCAAGAAGAAGAACAAGAACCTACCACACCCACAGCATCGTCTTCTGCACAACCACCACAGCGTCGGATTAGCAACCGACCACGCAACCCTACCAATCGATACACTCCTAGTTAGTTGTGTTGTATTCGGAGACAATTTGTAGACATATATATTTATTTTTTTCTTTCGTGGATTTATGTGTAATGATATTTGAACTTGTTTGGAATTTTATATTTGGAAAGTGAATTATTGTGCTTCATTATTGTTTCTTTGACATGGTTGATATGGGTTTTGTGAATTTATATTTGGTTGTGGAATCGATCTCGATTAACAGGTGTGTTTTTGTAATTTTGTTTCTGTGAATTGCTGTTTTTGCACAGTAAAACGTATTTTCAAAATACGTTTTTCTACTGTGTAAAATTAGGTCAAAATCGATTTGGGGATAAAATTAGGGCGCAATCAATTTGGGGCAAAATTAGGTTCAAAAACGTATTTTCAAAATACGTTTTTCTACTGTTTAAAATTAGGTCAAAATCGATTTGGGGATAAAATTAGGGCGCAATCAATTTGGGGCAAAATTAGGTTCAAAAACGTATTTTCAAAATACGTTTTTATACTGTGTAAAATTAGGTCAAAATCGATTTGGGGATAAAATTAGGGCGCAATCAATTTGGGGCAAAATTAGGTTCAAAAACGTATTTTTAAAATACGTTTTATTTTTGCAAATATTATTTTTCAAAAAAATAAGGTTTTTTAAAATCAAAAATATTAATTTTAAATATTTTAACGAAAAACGTATTCCCAGAATACGTTTTTCAGCTATTTTAATTAATTTAATTACGTTAATCACCTTAATTAATTGTTTCTAATAAACACGTATTATTAGAATACGTTTTTTTATAAAAACGTATTTCAGGAATACGTTTTTATTTAAAAAACGTATTCTAGGAATACGTGCTTTTGATATTTTTCCACTTGTTTTATTTTTTTTTTATTTATGTCCACTTAATTTTTTTTATTTTTACATAAATAAATAAATCTCGAACTTTGAGCATTTTAAAAAATAAACTACACTATTTTTTACAATGATACAAAATAAAAAATAAAATTATATATAAAAATTCAAAAATTAATTATAAATAAAAAAAATTACATTTTAGAACTCAATTACAAGAAAGAACCACAAATTAATTATTTATAAGCACCAAAAGTTAGGACATTTAGAATTAAAGAATAAACCTCATAATTTCAAAATAAAAGAAAATTTTCTCATACTTTTGAACATATATTGGATGGAATGGGCACTGAGCCCAAATATCTCAGCCCCATTTGCTTTCGTGTCTTCATTCAAGAGCCCATTAACTTGGCCCGTTAGACTGCGTGTCGACATTCAACAAAACCATTCAAAGAATATGGCCTTACCTTCCGCCATGGCCTATTGGCGATACTCCTCACTCTTTCTGTATCACAAACTCAAAAAGTTTTTGCAGAGTTAAGATAAGTCTTTCTGATTTGAAAAATCTAAAACCCTAATTCCCTTTTCAAGCGTAGCATGTTGAGGCTGTGGAAATTGTACCAGAACTGTTTATCGAACCACCCAGTTAAAACCCAGGTGATTAGCTCCGGCGTCATTTGGGGATTTGGCGACGTAGTTGCTCAGGTCGTTACACAGTCCACCACCAGAGCGCACCATAGTAAAACCCATGTGAGTTACTGTTTTTGTTTTCCTTTTTTTTTTTTGGTTTTATTTTGGAGTGGTAGATGAAGCTGCAGTGATTTTCAGCGAGTTTAGTTTGATTTGTTGTTTTGAGTTTTGGGTATATGCGGGGTTGTTGACTTTTCCATGCTCATGAGGTTTTTGATTAAATGGGTAAATGTGGAACTGTTTTACCAATTTTATTCTGTGATTTTTCATTTGTATGGGCACTTATGTCTTTCAAATGGGTTCCTTTTGATGATAAAGAAAAAAACAACAACAACAACAACATAGCCTTTAGTCCCAAGCAAGTCGGGATAGGCTAGAGATGAAACCCAAGAGAAACACAAAAAGACTCGAACCAAAAGGAAGAGATCGAAAAAAAAAAAAAAATCCCTCTACTTGTATCTTGTTGTCTCTACTGATTTATTAAGAAGCACGCGGCAATTACAGTTTAAATTGCTTAGTCTTGGTTTAGAAAAATTCACATAGTGTTCACTTGCTTTTCTTCAACCATATATATATTTTTTTTGTGGTGGGATTGGGATTGTTTGGTACCATGGATCGTTTACGTAATTTATCATATCATTTTATAGCATGGATCCAGTGAGTGTCTCTTCAGATTGTTAGAACAAATTAAGCATTCTTTTGTGAACTATGATGAATAGAATGTGAATGCCTCGTCATAGAGATTTACTTCTTAGCACAGAACTACATATATATGGAATGACATGAATAGAACATAAAAAATCTCGTATTCACGAATAACATTTTTCTTCATGCATTCAATATTCAATAGCTGAAATGAAGTTCAGCTGTGCGGATGTCTTTTGTTCTTTTTTCATTTCTTTGTAATTTTTGTTGATTTTTGCCTCTGCTGCAGGATGCAGATAATGAACTAAAAATCAACTGGAGGCGAGTTGCTTCCACAACCTTGTTTGGTCTCGGATTTATTGGTCCTGTTGGCCATTTCTGGTAAGTTTTCTTTTTATCAGTTATTTTCAGAGGAACATTTCCATTTTCTGCCTGTTTCAAGGAAGAATGAAAGAATAGTTTATATAAATCATTTTTCTTCCGACAGAACTCTCACTGAATTGCACTATGTTACAAAATGCTGAATAAATACTTAGTTTTAAGCATTTGGTTATTGGCAGAGATTTGTCGATCGTGTTAATAAATGAAGCTTCCAAGTGTTGATGTATTGGGTTCGTAAAGTAACCTAATTCTCATTTGTAGCTAATAAAGCTAGTTTTATATTGATTTTCTGAAAGGAAAACAAATGGGTTTTGAGTGGCATCAATGATATTCTTTTGTGATTAGACATATGTTTTATTTATTTCCTTTTTTTTTACTGTACATGCTTAATTGGTCCTTGATCAATGAAGGTATGAAGGCCTGGACCGGATAATTAGGGTTCGGCTAAAGCTAAGGCCCAATTCCTTCCGTTTTGTGGCAACAAAAGTCGCTGCTGATGGCATAATCTTTGGGCCGATCGACCTGCTCGTGTTCTTCACTTACATGGGCTTTGCCTCTGGAAAAACTTCGGCCCAAGTGAAAGAAGATGTCAAGAGAGATTTTCTCCCAGCCTTGATCTTGGAAGGAGGCGTTTGGCCTGCCGTCCAAGTGGCCAATTTTCGATTCATTCCAGTTCGATATCAGCTTCTTTATGTTAACTTCTTCTGCTTATTGGATAGTTGTTTTCTGTCGTGGGTCGAGCAGCAAGAAAATGCTCCTTGGAAAATGTGGTTAAAGTCTTTTATGCCTTTGAAAGAAGGGGAAGGCCAGTGATTGTTTTGAGTTTTTTGTATTTACCCTTTTTGTAGTCTTATTGTTTTCGGATATGAGAATACGGTTTGGGCTTCGAGCTGTATATTTGAGTCGGGGTTTGGGGCGAACGAGCTTTTGCCGTGCATGTGTGAGGATTATCATTCTTTTTTTTTTTCTTCCCCCTTTTCCTCTTTTTGAGAAGAAATTTGCATGAAGAAGATGAGATTGAGCTCTGTAAGACTAACCATTCTCTTGTAGTTTAAATATTTCAGCAATGATATTAGAATAATTTGAAATTTTAACCATAAAAGGAATATTTTTATGTTTAAAGCAAACTAGCTGAGATGTTTT